AATCAAACCTTCAAACAAATCCCAGATCATATTCGTTAATGATCTACATTTTATCAGCACTGCTCTACAATCAAGCCTGTTATCAAATGCCTGAGACTTGAAATGAGCAGCCTAGACAGCATCTGACTGACTAGAAGTGACGGGAAAATGAGTAAAAGGAAGAGAAAAGTGTTATTAAGTGTTAGTTATTAGAAAGTTGAAGCTGTAGGTCTGTGACCATGAGGAAAAAGAAAGCAGAAAAGAGGGATAAAGTCTGGAGGTTCTAACCGTGAGATTCTGCCGGTGACTCGACCGTTTGGGTCCATTCTCTCTCTCTCTTTCTCTGCTTCTCTTTCCTCCCTCAGTCTCTCCACACAGCTTCACGCAGCCTGCATTCTTTACTATGAGGTGATAACAGCTCCCCTGGGCTGCCTTTTCTTTCCTCCTCTCTCTCTCTCTCTCTCTCTCTCTCTCTCTCTCTCTCTCTCTCTCTCTCTCCGTTCTCCTGTTGCTTCACTGTGCTCTAATATGTTCCCTTCTCTCCCTCCCTCTTGCCTCTCTCTCTCTCTCTCTCTCTCTCTCTCTCTTTCTCTCCACAGGTAACCCTGTGTGGTGCCTCTCCTGATGTATGGGTGGATCCTGGCTAAGGAAAGATTATTCCATTCTGAGTGGCCAGCAGTCTTCGGGACATAAGTTTTACACACACGCGCACTCTCTCTCTTTCTCTCTCTCTCACACACACACACACACATATGCAAGACCTTGAGCCGTCCAAATATGGTGGAGAGAATGTAAACACGAGGGTGGAGCTACATGAGGGCGGAGAGAAAGGGGGGTGTGGAAAAAGACAGAGAAAATAAGAGAGGTAAGGTAGTGGCAGAGAAGAGAAGAGAAGAGAAGAGAAGAGAAGAGAAGAGAAGAGAAAGTTTTATGCAGCTCTGAAAAATCTCAAGGCAGTCAAACAGCATAATTACAGGCAAAGGCAATTCTATATTTATAAGTGTGTGTATCGTAAACTCAAAGTCAGGCCACTCACATGTTCTTAACATAAGGCATCTCTAATTACACGCCAGTTCAAAATGGAATCACACAACCAGATGTGCATCAACCCTAAATCACTGCCCTCTGACGGACTTACACACAATCTTGTTTTTATACAATGTTAGGACATAGGATCATACACAGGTTCCATATGGATCACACACACACACACACACACACACACGTATATATATATATATATATAATATATATATATATATATATTGCTGTCAGAACAAAAGCTCGCATCTCCATTTTTGACGTTTTTTAGTTGTTGATGTAATTTGAAAGTACTTGTTGTCCTAATCATTGTGTGTAAACTTCATGACGAATGGACCAACAGAAATGACCCAAAATTACTTAGAACAAAAGTCTGGTTCATATATGGCTCATGATTAATTAATTCAATTTTTTTTTAAAAATTAGAATCTTTGTAACATTTATATGAATTTCTTAGTATCTGGTCTGTCCCCCCTTTTGCTTTAATGACAGCATGTATGCAAGCTGGCATGGCTGGCAAAAGTCTCTAATGAGTAGATTAAATTCGTCTGAACATGTGCTTCAGTGGAAGAGATAAGACTCCAAAAATCTGACCCTTTTGTACAAAAGCCATAGCATGGTCAATGTTACAAATTTGCTTAAATTTGAATAGTCACCTAAGATAGAGTGCAGAATCTTGAATATTTGTTCTTAATTTTACTTGTCATAACATTTTTGTTTCAAGATTTTGTTATTTCTTTCCATGTTTAAATGCAAAAAATCCCAGATTTTCAAAGTGGTCTCAAACTTTTCTCAGACTAATCCTGAACCTAACCCTAACGTTAACCTCAGTCACAAAAAAGAAATGGTTTTACGCTTTCAATTTTAAAGCATGAAAAAAAATATATATATATATATAAAGACAGGGCCATTTTGTGGGTTAGACCATTTTTTCCAGTCTTTACTACAAAGTTAGGACACTCTGCCCTGAAAATGTATGAAAACAAACACACATGCACACACACATACAGTCTGATGTTTGGATTTGTTTTGCAGAGAGTGGCAGAGAAAAACACCCAGCCTTTAAATATCCGGTCTGGCATTTCCTCTGTCTGGAGGCCAGAATGAGTCCAAAAACGCTTCACTCCCAAACACTCACTCAGCTGTATACAGACAGCATGGAGTCTCAGGGCTATGAAGGCCTGGTGGCCTGATGGGGACTTGAACTTACAGCACCATGTGAGCAGAGCAAAGCCTCTAATCACAGCTCTAAAGGTGCCAGTGCTCTTTAAGCAAGCAGCATGGGAACTTCCAGACCTCACAGCGCTCAGGTCAATCACGTTTCCGTCCACAATCAAACTGAAATATTTTTTCTTCAGCTTTGTGTGACAATCTAGCAAGGTCAGATTCAAGTTAAGCCAGCAAAGTAACACCAACATGGCAACACATTGTGGTAACTTCTGTGTTGTTGTTGACTGTAGAAATTAGAATATTGTGGTGAAAAGTAAAAATTAATTAAGAATTGGTAGAAATCCTAATTCAGATGTGTTTTACATTGATAGTTCTGCAAATAATCAAATTTATTCAATTTTCCCCTCGCTTCAAAATGAAGTCAATCAGATGATGTTTTATATCTAAAGTTTTCAGATATTCTTTTAGCAAGTTTACTGCGGAACTTGCTTGATCAAATCTCATCTGGTTCTTTGAACCTGTGCTTTCTCCTCAACAGTTCACTTACTTCAGTATGGCTGAGGTTTACAGTAATCAAAGCACTTCGCTTCAGTCAGCGGAGAAAACCATGGCAACACTGTAGCAACACTGAAGTACCCTGGTAACCAGCATGTCTGATTCAGTGCAGATTAGAGTCCCAGGTCAAAAACAGGTTAAATGTACAGTAGCATACAGTGCAGAATCTCTTTACTACTGCCAGCCATTAGTAGGTCAAGTGTAAAAGTCACTCAGAGCAGTCTAGTGTAGCTGCATATTTTCCTATACACAGTCAAACTCTTACATTAACACAAAAGCATAACGAGTCAAGCTCTTTAGTTAATGGAGGTCAGACGCAATGACTGGTAAAATGATGAACACTGTTTCCTTGCACAGTCATGGTAACCTTCATATCACAGACCCTGTCTGTTGTTAATGGCTTTTTGTTTTCAGTGAACTAAATTTGGCTTCTCTGCTATCATGCACAAAAGAGAGCCTGAGTATGTCTTTGTTGTGTCTTAAACAGCTAAAATCCTTAAAAACCACAGCTTTGCTGTGAACACTCAGTGTGAAGAGGTCCCACAACTGCAATGCAAGAGTGAGACACAAGAGTGAGACTGAAGAGAGAGACTGAAATCTTGAGTATCGTCTGATATGGATACCAGTCTGATATGTATTTTTAAACAACTACTAAGCTTTGCACTTCAATTAAGATGAGCATCTAAAAGTAGGCTATCATCAGGCACGTGCACAGACATTTTTGGGGGCAAGGTCTCAAGCAGGAGCGTAGCCTTGCAAAGGCCTGGGTAAGCATGGGCCTACCCAATTTGATCACAAGCCTACCCAAGCAAATGGGGAAAGAGCATTTCGTCAAGATAATTACATTTTATTTGTTTTCAGTGACGGCTGTCATTGTATCACGGCCAACCAAAATACAGTCGTAGTACTCTGGTTAATGTGCACACAGTCTTGCTATTGTTTTGTATCACTACAGGGTGGAAAGGTTGGAATATGTAGGGTGATGACTGAACTGCTGTCAGCAATACGCTACAGCTGATATTATGACATTGAAGGACAGCCTATAGAACAGCTATTATATAGGCAAGTATACTGCAATCATTCTTAGCAAGAGAGACAGTCTTACGTTTCAGATAAAAAAAACAAGTGGTGTCTTAAAGAGATTTAGTGTTTCGGCAGTGGGATTTCCAGCACTGTGGTGATGACAGGCATGACTGGTCAGAGTTCTGAGGGGAACCAAAGGCAGTTGGTACTTCACCAGAGGAGGTGCCCAAAAGCCATAAATCTTGTAGAGCCCAAGTTGACCCAAAAGCTTTATATCAGAGGCTGAGCCTCATCTCACTAAAACAGATCTTGAAAATTGGCAGCAGCCATATAAAATACAGTTGTTATACACATAGACCAAGTGGGCACTTTTACCATTTGAGGGGAAAGGGTCAGGCCCTCAAGCTCCCCTTGGACTGGCTGTCATGCTTAAACTACTTAAACATCTACTAGTCCAGAGGAAGAAATACACTGCTAACAACATATCACACAATGCAAGTATGTACTATTTCAGGCTAGATTTGTCACCGAACGGGAATCATTGGATTCATTTTTTTTCCCTCTAATATATGATTCAGCAATTTCTGTCAAAATTGGCCTTGTACCCATAAATACTGATGAGCCATCGCTATGTGACATACTTATAAAAAGGACAAAAGTTCATTGCATATCTAAAAACAGTAGTAGCAGCCATATAAGTCTGAACTGTGTTTGTACTTTTGTTCCTTTTTTATAGATAATATATTATACAGTCTGAGATCTATATAACCGAGTGCAGTTCCTTTGAGCAACTATTTGAGATGGAAACTTGTTTGGTTCCATTAACATATGCTTTATCTTCAATATCTTCTTCTATGCACAATGCATTTACAGTATGCAAATAGGTCCCTCTGTCTGTTTTGTTTACTGAGAATATGTGCTTTCCATTACACTGTAAGTGAAACATGCCTTTACATGAATGGCACATCAACAAACACTGCAAATGTCCCTGAAATACTGGTGTTGAAGACATTTCCTCTCAATAATAACATCCTGAGCCCTCTGGCAGTGGACAGTAAGTAGTGGTGAGGGAACGAGGAGAGGACCACAGGAACTATATACAAACAATCCGTTCTGTTTGCAGCTAATATGTTTATTTACTTGAAGGAATCGAACAATTTATCTGACAGATTTATTTCCGAAGACCCTAATGTGTATCGGCTGAGTCAGTGGAATATTTGTGGTTTCAGTACCTTCTGCTGCAATGTTCTCGTACGAGTCCCAGTGAACGAGAGGATCCAGAGTGTTATAGTCGATAACAACTGCAGAGCTGTTCCTCCAGCCATCACTGCCTTTATACAGAGAGAGTGGCCAAGATCAATATCACTGGAGCTCATAAAACAAGATACTGTCACTTGTCAGGCTGTCATAACTGATTATACTAGTAACTGAGTAAGTGATTCATTTAACAGTTAATCAAATAACTGGGTTTTTAAAAGAGGCTAAACAATATTGTCATAATTTAGTCACTGAGTTGTAAACAAAGTCATTCAGAGTGGTTTTATGTGAAACCAGTGAACCTACACATTGTCTTCTGAGTGTTCATATATAATGTTAATAATGGTAAAACTCTTTTTTAAGAGACTATTTTGCCTTATAATGCCCTGTATGTACCTCTCTACAATGAGGGATTTGTCTCAGGCATCATGCAGTACATTTGTAAGCAGTTTTCCCATATCTCATGCATGCATTTACATTTGTCAGGAATATGAATGTGTGTAGGTTAATGTTTGCCTTAAGTTTAAATATTTAGCACAGCTGTACAACTTCCAGCTACAACATGATAAATTAAAATTAATTACAGCGGTCAGATATCACTTTAAAGAAGTATAACGAAGAAAGCTCTTTGTTCTTCTCATTCATTCTCTTACTCTAAATTCCCTCTACTGGGCACTGAGTGGAACAACAGTCCCAAATTAAGGAAGAGCTCTAAATAGCACCTCTTATATTGACATGTGTTCTCCAGTAGCACTATTTAGAAGAGTAGGATCAAAGAAACATACCTTGAGGAAAGCCTGGAATTCTCACCATGCTTTCTGAAAACATTGCCTCCACCTCTCCATTCTCAGGGAACCTGGGATCTAGTATAGAAACACTAGAACTAAGTCAAGTTGTAAACAGAAGAGCATGTTAACCCATACAGTGTTATGTGGCCTTCTGCTAAGCTCTGTTAATGTCTCTCTTGGGTCCAAACTAGGATGCACTCTGACATATTAGATGGGTTCTGTTTTTATGTTTTGTATTGCTGACACAGGTGTTCAATTGTGCACACACGGCTCATACGATCACCATTGAGAAGCACTGCCAACAGAATGGGACACTCTGGAGCTGCCACACATGAGCATAAAGTCACCTCGTCCAAAGCCGAACGTCGGCTAAGGGTATAAAGCTGCGTGGCATTGGGCTGTGGAGCAGTAGAACTCTGTTCTCTGGAGTGATGAAGCACCACTGAATATCTTTGGGATGAGTTGGAGTAGCATTTTTGATCCAGAACTAATCCGTCAACTTCAGAACCGAGAACAGAGTTCACTAATGCTCTTGTAGCTGCAATTAAATTCTCACACAAATGTTCCATCATTGGTGTAAACCTCCTCTATAAATACCTTTGATTTCAGAAGAAACTTTGGATGAGCGCAGGTGTCTACAAACTATATATATTGCTCTGAGTGTCATTTGTTTCTGTGGCATCAGAATAATAGACATCAACAGTATTTCTGTGTGTGAAACTATGTTTAATTTGTGTCATATGTCTATATTTAAAACTATGGTACAGGGCCTAGCCTGGCCTGTTTTCTGGCAATGTCTTCCCATAGACCACACTATTTTAAAACCTGCTATTCATCCAATTTGTATTTCACGATGAGATGATTCATTCAAACATAATCTAACACCAATCTTATGTTGGTACTGTATTATAGATTACTGTACTTCAGCCATAACATTGTATTTTAAATTAGTACTGCTCATCCAGTATGTGATGTCAGGTCAGCAAACTCATGGTGAAAGCATGTGACTATGTCATTAGCTCCTCTCAGACAAATAATGAATACGATGTGGAGTGCATTTCTATCTCTTCCAGGTATATTCAGGCATGTTCTTTGCAAACTGTAGTGCACAATTCCTATTTATTTGCTAAGTGTGTATATATATTATATATTAATATAAATGCAATATGAATTTCTCTACTATGGCAAGGCAATTTCTTCATAAAACAAAGTCTGTTTAACTTGAATGTCATGGGCTGTCAAACGATTAAAAAAGACAGGAAATCTTATTCCATATCATGCACTGTTAGTGGTAAAGGTTTACCGGCCTGTATTCTGCAGTTGCATTTCTCCAACTCTATACTTGCAATATAAATGACAGCACAATATTTTGGCTACAAGAATGACTTTTAAGGTTGAAAATAGTATTTTTGTCATATAACACTTTCGAGTGTAAAACAGGTTGGTCAGAAGTAACAGAAATAATTGCCATTTTAATTTGTGGATGACAATGATGCTAATGAAAACTCAAGACAGTCTACTTGCTCAGACCGTCAGTGGACTGAGTGTAGTTATCAACCACTTTAAAGGGGCCATATCCTACATCTTTGTGTATTAGTTATGTGTCCAAACTAGTCATGATTTATTTTTACATGACCAATTTCCAACCTCTGTTTATCCCTTACAATTAAACTGTTTTTGTGACTCTGCCTTTACAAGTGCTGTATGTGAATGTTCTCTGTTCTGATTGGCTGTCCTGTGGTGTGAAACGTTCTTTCACATGTGGATGTGGCCAAACTGCTGTAGGCTGAATAGGTGAATGTATTCAAATGTTTAGGTTTTGTGACATCACACGCACAATAAATTCAGAACAGGGAGATTTTGCAGAAAGTTTGCATATATGAACTGTATGGACTGGGGAGTGAATGGTACATTCAGAAATTTTGAAAATGTTTACATCAAACTCAAAGTGAGGAAATTTGGTTTTTACTTGATATTGTCCTGTTAATGTAGACCCAATGAATAATGGCTAGTAATGATGAACACATTTAGAGAAATTAACAGCAAGGACATTCCCATCTTTGCCCTGTTTGAAATGCACAGCTTGAGCGTTCAACTCTGCAGTGTGTGTACCTTTGTTTGCAAGATCAAGGTCCTTTTTATAGAACAAGGAAGGGTGTCCATGAAGGGTGCCTGTGTGAAACTGCATGCGAAACACAAGCTCTCTGATCCCCCTCTCAGCATTCTTATGATAGCATACGATCTGCGAAAGGGAAGATAAACACTTGTATGAGTCGATGTGAACGTAAGAATAAGCAAAACATGCACGGCTGAGCAGAAACGCAGTGTGCAACCTCACCATAATGTCACCTTTGAGAAGCTGCGGCGGTTCCAGTGCGAAATAAACTCTGTCTGTCTGACCCATGGCAACCTTACTGAGAGACACATACACACACTTAATGACAGTGCCATGTCACCACAGGTTATCGTTCTGTGCCACATGTGATGCGTATACTGTGTAGGTGTCTTACTGTACTCCTGTGGTGCACACTGTCTGCATGCCTTGGTATACCCTCACAAAGAGCTGGCACCCTAAAGAAAGAACAACTGCTATGAGAACCAGAAAGAGAAAGTGCAGTAGATTCAGAAAGGTCTGGGTTGCGTGTGATGCAGTGTTGGCATGCCATGATTGGCAGAGTGATGTCTTTCCTATAGCATGTTAGCAAATATTAGCAAAAGCATTTGTTGATATTACTGGTTAATATTAACAACATCAATTGTGCATTTGATAACATAACTGAAGTAGGCCTAGCAATGTTTCATGAGGTTTCAATGTCTTCCTCCTACTTCTCAGCATCAGTTCTTTCATGCTGTTGTCCAGAATTTAGCATTGTTGCTCAGAAATCATCAAGGAGCATCTGATTTTGCTGTCACTTCCTTGTATTAACATGGCGTAATCTACCCATGCAGTTCCACAGCAACTGCTTGTGGTGCCCCCAGTACGCAAGTGTCATTTAAAAAAACTGTTAACCAAAAATTACTCAATCAGCCAAGACATATTTATATAAGTTTGCTTCTTTATTTTTGAGCTGGAGCCATGAGAATAATATAAAATACACTGTATGTCCAAAGGTTTGTGGACACCCTTTCTTATTAGTGAATTCAGCTGCATTAAGTTCCACCCACTGCTGACATATGAGTTCAAATACACATAGCTTGCATAAAGTCCATAGAAAAGCATTGAGCAACAGAATGAGACACTCTGAAGCAGCTGCACACAAGACTAAAGTTATCATGCCCAATGCCAAGCATGGGCTAGAGGGGTATAACGACCCCCAACATTGAACTGTGGAGCAGTGGATCTGAGTTCTCGGGAATGATGGAGCTCCATCAAATACCTTTGGATGAGTTAAGGTGAGGTTTGTGATCCAGACGTAATCATCCAACATCAGTACCTGACCTCACTAATTCTCTTGTGGCTCAATGCAATCAAATCCTTACAGTAATGTTCCAACATCTACTGCAAAGTGTTCCCAGAAGAGTACAGGCTGTTACTGCAGCAAAGGAGGGGAAAAAAAACTCTTTTTAATACTCTTGATTTTGTAAGAAACACTAGATGAGTGGGTGTACCCAAACTTTTGGCCATATAGTGTAAGTTTATGGATCCAGACAGGGATTAAGCCTAGCCTTGGACTACATTTTACTACAATTATGCATTAGTACAAAATAGATCATCACAATGATGTTATTCATGATAATATACAACCTGTTCTATTGCTTTTATTCATCACTTTTGCAAAGTAAAGAAAAGTGTTTAGCAAAGATCAAAGCAAACATTGTTTTAAATATTGTTTCCGTTGTTTTAATAATTTCTTCTGCCAAAAAAGGTAGTTCCAGAAACCATCCACTGTTGGTAATTAGTGACCGGTGGTCAAAAACAGTACAGGTATGGTGAAAAAATGTGTTGTAATCAGATATAACAACACAGGTGGAGTGCTTTTTAACCAATCAGATGGATATAACTGTTGAATAAAAACTTAGAATCAGCCTAACTGTTTGAGCATCCTAGATCACAAACAAAAACAAACAAACAAAAAACAAACTGCCCTTGCTGTGGTGTATGTGTGTGCAGTTGTTACCTGTGGGGTGAAGCTTTGGGATGTGGTGTAGAGTGATGCAGTGGAAGAGGAGAGGAGAGGAGTTTATCTTTAACTGACGGTTCAGGAGACTGCCAAACATCTGCACATACCTGAACCACACACAACATCGTCAATCTCCCTAGCCAACAGCACGGCGGATCAAATTCTCTTAACATAAACAGACTCAGACTTTGAAATCTCTGCTTGAAATATTTGGCGCGTCTTAAGAAAAACAAAAGACTTGTTTCAGCTTTAGATATATGATATGCAAAAAAATCCTTTTTTGGATAAAAACGATAAGGACGAGAGAGAGAGAGAGACAGAGAGAGAGAGAGAGAGAGAGAGAGAGAGAGAGAGAGAGAGACAGAGAGAGAGAGGAAATGAGGAGAGAGAGAAAGAAAAGTGAAGAGAGAGAGAGAAAAGTGAAGAGAAAGAGAGTGAGGTGAGAGAGACAGAGGCAGAGAAGGAGAGAGAGTGAGAGAGAGAGGAGGGAATTAACAGATCACAAAGAAAAAGGAAGTAGGGACGGGACCACGCTGAGTTCATAGCGTAAGCAGTTAATTTGCTGACCATGATCTGACCTCAAATCACATTTCAACATTCTCTCTTGTAACCCTCAGCTCTCATGACTGACCTGCTGTCAGGAGGCCAACTGACCAAGTGACAGATCTTTATGTATGCACAACGTTACAAAATCTTAGAATATTTCAAAGATTACAGATATGATGAAGTGATAAGAAGTTGAGAGGGAAAAAAGTTTGCCTTTTCTGGGACGGAGTCATCAGTGAAGCCATCTTATCATTGTAGAACCTCTTCATGGTGTAGCAGTCTAAAGCCTGTTCTTCACTGAGAGAGAGAGAGAGAGAGAGAGAGAGAGAGAGAGAGAGAGAGAGAGAGAGAGAGAGAGAATTTTTTTTTGATCCTTGTTCTGACTCACTGGATAGGCTCACTGTTCACTGTAAAGACAGATATTAATGTAAAATCTCATGGGCCGATATAGGACACTGTAATAAATTTATAAACTTATTTCCAGCATGCCATATACACTATAAGTCAAACATTTTTAAGGAACACTGAACATAAACATGAACATTTTATTTTTTTTTCAAGAGATAATGGAAAGTAGTGGTGTAGTTACAGGGGGGCCTGGAAACCAGATTTCTGACAAACAAAATAAAAGTCTTTTGATGCCGGTGAAAATGTTATAAAATATAACTCATATTTTGCTGTCATAATAAAGGATGATATAATACAGCCTCTATTTTCAGCTTAAACAACTAAAAGTGACCACCAAGCTCTCCTTTGATAGTCACTAATTTTCAGTGGCTGCTATCACCATGACACCGTTTACGCATCTGCATGCCTCCGCTGCTTGTGCACTGTCACTGTTTTACATCAACTCTGCAAAAAGGCATGAAATGACACTTTTTGTCACACCAACATTAAAACATAGTATCTGCTCAACTGTTTCTGCAAACTGCAGGAACTGAACCGAAGTAGTAAAACTGACCGCTGTCAAGAAAACAAAGTTATGAAAAAACAACATGAAAATCATAGTATTCAACTGTTCACCCTAGGAATCCACTCCCACTGCTGTAAAGGTTAATTAGCTGATACTTGTTGTGGTATGATATTGTAGTTAAATGTTGGGTCATCATGTTTAAATTTTCTTTTTTCCTCTCTGGGTTATGCTAATAGAGGACTACTTTTCTAACAAAATAGCTAGTGAGCTAGTAAGCTTGTTTGTGGCCATTAACCTCACTGTATCAATGAGACATAATGATTCCTAGTTGGCCCTCTGAACCTGTAAACAGCTCCCCTCTAAAATCAAATTCCGACTACATTAATACTGATTAAAAGCAATGAAATGTGCTTTTTAAACTACAAAAGAGAGATCTGACTAAATGCTAACTGCTGTAGCATCTAACTAACTGATTCTTAACTGATTTGTTTTGATTCTACACCAATTCGTTTTGCTCCTGGTGATATCTGTCCAGAACTATGCTAATCACATATTCTGAAAATAACAGTGCCAAAAAGGATTATAAGGAGTGATGTGATATGAACCACTTTTGGCAGTTCTCTGCAGATTTTAATGGATAGTTCTTTAAAGAACCACGCTTACACACACACACACACACACACACACACACACACACACATATATATATACACAAGTGAAGAAAGTTCAAAGAACCTCCAAATGAAGGTTGAACTGGTCATCCAAACCATATATTTGAAAGTGTACATTGCAAAGTAATGGAAACTTCTTAATCTAGATATCAGTAAACATATTGTGTTGTGTTTGTTGGTTGCAAATTGACCAAACTATAAAATATTTACATATATAAAAATCCTGCTTGCTTCCACACCTTTGGCCTGTTATGTTTCAGGAAGCTACTGTCTGACACCATGAAAGCATTTGGAAATCTCATGGCAACAAACCCCTCCCACAAGCAAAACACAACTTCAGCTCAAAGTTCATCCAAGTAGCCTGCCAGCCTTGAGTTATGTGTGCCTACCAATCATTTGTGTTTCATCTTTTTTTTTTTTAAATATTACCAATTGTTCAGCACTGTTCACCAACTGTGTTTCCAATACACATATATCACACTCGCACTTATCAGAGAACTGGACATGCAGGCACAAATCTCTAAACCGTGCCAGTAACAGAACTGATTCAATGTGTTCGTCTGATAGAAGGAAATATGTTCATAATGCTCACCACTGGAAATGCATGGCAAAAATCATGCTGAATCTTTAAAACCTGGTTAGTAACTAAAACAGTGCAATTTCGCATAAGCACATGTCTGAAGTTCCCACGTTGCGTTAGTTTTACCTGGTGGATACGCTGGGAAGGTTGATATAGGATGAAATGACGACTCCCACTCGGTCTTTGCTACCCTATTAGAAACAAATAAAGAAAGAGAGAAAGAGTATTTGACACCACCTGTGGCCCTTACACATCAACAGTTTGAGACAGAGGGTATAATAAGAATACACTTGCTATCCATATGATCACATTCATCAGGTTCATCATCATGTGGAAAGCCAGCAATTATACATAAACAATCTGCACTTATATTCTGAGACAATCAGTACATTTAATTGCTTATGAAAGAAGACAGCTTGCTTTCTTTTAAAATGTCTGATGAGCTACTCATTATAGGGGGATTTAACATTTCTGCATAATTAAATGGTTAAGATATAGTGCTTGTTAGAGTAGTGTAGTGGTATAGTGCAGTACTGGATGGTACAGTGTAGTGGAAGTAAGACTTCTGCTCTCTATACCCAAGACTGGGGTTGTATCCCCTGCCTGGGCCAGCACCCTACACTATACCAATAAGAGTCCTCGGGCAAGACTCCTAACACTACCTTCACCTACCTCACCAAATTGTAAGTTCCTCTGGATACGAGTGTCTACCAAATGCCATAAATGCAAATATATACAAAGCCACTCAGAGTGGTTTGATGTGAAATCCTCCATTCTAGAGAAACTTACTGAGTCAGAATTGTGCTGGTGATAGGGACCAGACATCTGAAGTGTTTAAAAGCTACCTCACAGAAAGCTATTACACAACAACGTTTATATGCATCCTGATGCCCAAGGGAATAAATGAATCAGAGATGAGGGTGTATGGTGGGAGGGAGAGACTGAGATGTACTGAAGGATGGGCAGAGATATTACCCTGCAGTGCAGCAACAGCACATGCTCAGTGTGTGTACTGAGCCAGTTCTCAATGCTTTTACACATGGAACACAGTAGACGAAGGGATGGAGCATGCTGCTCAGGCCAGCCAACATCCAGTACCTGAGAGGGAACACACAAACCAAAGATGCACCTTAAACCTAACAAGCTTTTCACAGAGTCATATGTATCAACTGGGTTTATGATTGTCACTTCTGAATTACACAAAATGGGACAGAGCAAGTGAATTTACCCTGGTGTTCATCCTCCTGAGCTCTTCCCTGGGCTCTGAGAGGTTAACAACCTGCAAAAGAGGAGGAACATCACTTGTTCTATAACACAGACTCTTTTGCAGTGTAACTTCTACCCTGGAATGTGGAATGAGGAGGCGGGACATACATATACATAGGCAAATGTCTTAACACCACCGTGCCTGGACAGTGGTTTGTAAACCTCTTGTGCTCCATCCTTGGGCAAGACTCCTAACACTATGTTCGCCTAGCTCTTTAACATGATTACATGTCATGATTACATGTCTGGATAATGCCACAAATGTGCATTTTTAGGGTTTTTTTCTTTTACTACAATCAATGCAATTGCATTGGGAGGAATTATAAGCAATGCATGGAGAAAACACATGAATCATTACGCCGCAATAGACACCTGGAGGGCACTGATACCTCGGCCCACACTGCAAAGAACTTATATCTAAGTGTTATTTAAGTGTAATCATTTTAAATCTAGTCTAGTTATATAAAATTTCTCAATCATTATTTTCATGAAACAAGCAAAATTATCCGATTTATGCCTTAAAACAAGCAAAATTATCTGCCAATAGAATAAGACGGGTTCTCTGGATAAAATAACTTAATAGAAAAAATAACACCTAGAAAAAAGTTGAATATTAATATGCTTCAATAATCCCATAATGAGACATATTAGATATACTGACTAGAATTAGGATGTTTTCATTTGCCAAGACATGATTTTTGCAGTGCACCTATGAAGAGAGTATAAGAAAGATATGCACTATAAACTGGATACTATATTAGTATGAATGTGCATAACAGCCCACACTACTATTCAGACAGTCACAGCTTTAAATTGTGAATGCACAAATATTTGGTATTCTCTGCATAAGGGCAGCTCAGCAAATGAGGTCAAGTCAGAGACCATTTCAAATGATCAACACATTAAAACTTTGCAATGGTTCAAAGCGTGCATATTCATAGCAGAATAACAATTTTAATACTAACTAAAAGATACAGTGAAAGAGCTTTTGTTTGAGTGAATGTGTTTCTTGTTCTCACCAAATAGTTGTCTGCATGTTTGGACTGCAACATCTGCATGATGTTGTGTAGGTTGTGCACGTAAGTTTGCTCTGGGCATGCCTGGTGGAAGGAGACAGCAATGATCCGCTCTGTGATGTAGTCCAGGTCAAATTCAGATGCATCTGCCATGACTGCACTGCTCTGTCACATCCGTGGATCTCTAAAGCACAATAAACAAAAACAGGAATGTCAAGCTCCAAGGCACAGTCAAGGTTGGGTTAACTGGTAAGAGAACTTCCCCATCTAAATAGATACAGTATTATACAGTATGGTTATAAAAATGCCATACAGCACATGAGGTCATATGTTTTACCACAAGGCACAACTATTAAATGGCCTATTTTATGGGAAACAAATTTGAAAAACAAAAGTGTTTGATGTAGCATGTAAACACTGTTAATATTTTAAAATGTATCATTCTCTCTGCAGTCCACACAGTCCATGTAAGCCTGTTTTGAAATGTCTGCTTTTGTGATGTCACAAAAATCAGCACATTTATATGTATAACCACATATTCAGCCTACAGCAGTTTCACACTGAAGTTATAAGGTTTCAACCTGCACTGCTACTTTTGAATGAGGTACAATATAAGGCAACAAAACTGAAAACTATAGGTTGGAAAATGGCCATGTAAAATGAATTAAAGCTGTTTTTGGTATACAAACCAACTCAAACATCATAAGTGGACAAGAACAATAAAAATGTAATATAGGGTCCTTTCAACTTTGGCTAAGCTGTACGCAACTGAAAAATAACAACCTGCAGTGCTTAGGTCAATAACTGCAGTCAGAGCCGATGAAATTCCAGTGTAGTCAGCACTAAGAAAGAGATCAAAAGGTGAAAAAATTTATAATGAGGCCTATTGCGTTGTTCAGTCTTTAATCTCACTCTTCTTGGCCTTCAGAGATTTTATAGGGTAATATGTTTCACAGGAATGACTATGTTTAACCATTTGAAACAGTCAACAGGCAAACTACTAAAACACAAAGTTGTTTTTTTTTTCTTTTAAATGTTATAAACATTTTAAGCACAAATATAGAACAGAACATAGTCTTTCCTAAAAGCATACTACTCTCGGTTTTCAAAGTACTGTAATGTGCAGATCAGAGACCATCCTTAATTTATTAATTTTCCATTCAGAATGGCCATTAAGCACAATTTATTCATTTTTTAGCAACAAAACATGTATCAGAAAATTACAGAAGCTAAATATAAATTGTTTCGGTATTAAGTGTTCACTTTTTATTATAACTTCCATTCTTCTTGGAAAATTTGCTTTCAGTTTTTCCACACCTCTAAAGATCAGTCTTAGAAGTTGGTTGCATTTTCTGCTTCTCATGATCCAAGTAATCCCAAACACATTCAGTGATGTTGAGGTCTGGGCTCTGCGGTGGTCAGTTCATTGTTCTGAGAAGACCAGCAGCTTCTTTGATTGTTTTGTGTTTTTTTTTCTTTTCTTTTTTGGTTTATTTATTTTTTTCAGTAAGTGCTTCTTGACAGCTACACATCCTTTCAGACTCATAGTGTTGAGTCTTCTCACAGTGGAAGGATGGACAGAAACACGTGTGGATTTTTTCTGATCTGAATCAAGAGTGGAGCTTGATTTTCTCTCTCAGAGATGAAAGCTTAAAGTACAGTTAACTGATGGGGACAGTTTTAGTGGTCTACCAGTTCTTACATGGTTGTTAGTCCCATCTTTTCTACATATTTCAGTAAATATTTAGAACTTCAGCTTTGGAAACTCCTGTTTTTCACTTTTTTTCCTTTTCCCCTTCCTTATTCAAGTGGATTATTTTATTCAGTTATTTTATTCAAGTGGATTATTTTATTCAGTTATTTTATTCAAGTGGATTATGATCTAATCTCCCCAGAAATATCTACTAAAAATGAATAACTTGTACTTAATTTGCATTTTGATAAGAAATTAAGAAATTACACAAATGATTGTTTGTTACTTTGGTAAAAAAAAAAATCTTTTAAACTCATTATTTAAGCTTCCTCTGAAAAATGAAGCTTAAGCTTCCAATAAAACTCGAGAGAAACTGTACAGTGAGGTGAAACAAACACACATGTACACACGCAGAGCACTTAAATTGACATTACTCCGATAAACTATTGACCTGAGCAGAGTGGACACACCTTATGACTACACAGGAAAGAGAGAAGACTTAAAAAAGACTATCTCACGTGTTGCTTTCCTCTATCCTTCCTCCCCACAAGCGTTTACAGCTCATTAATGAAATAATGGCTTCCACTTACGAACCACATCAGTGAGTCATCAAAAGTGCAGCAGTTTTGTATCATATGATACATTTCCCAAATTTGATCACTAACTTTGAAACTAACCTCCTGTGTGTTTTTATTTGCTGCATATAGCCGTTAACTGATTCATTTCGGTCAGCAACTTTTTGCCTAATTTCATTCTTGGATCTTTCCTGTTTTCATGGATGACTAAGGAGTCACTGCACACTTACACCCAAGTGAAACAGGAAGTTACAGATCATCACTAAAAATTCCTAAAGATTCAGCAGTGCTTAAAAAGGGAAAATATCAATGGAAACACACCCCGTTTTCTTCGCAAGAATGTACAGAAGTGCTAATAATTGTGATGTGTCTTTAAGTGATGTTTAGGTAAATTTATTAGTGATAATACACAATAGCACAATAATATCAGAAACAATAAGAATATCAGCAGGTAACTGCTTACAAAAATTATCTGCGATGGACAGACGTTCACGCTAGACTCACCGATCATGAGTTTTTATGGCCAATTCTGATTTTTTTCAGCCAAACTGGCCTAAGAATGATTATATGTGAGCTAAATGAACATGAGACACACTAACACATTTACAGTATTTTCTGTCAGCCAAAGTTGAATAAAAAACATGATTTACTCTTTTATGGGCCAAACTGCCATTTTAATTTTTAATATATAAACAGCATGTGGCAATTTTTCTGGCATTGGTGTAGAAGCAGTGTTCAAACACAGTGCAAGTGCACTTATCCTGGCTCACACTATTTACATCATAAAAATAAAACTATAGAACTATAAATAAGAACTATAAATTGGCCGAATGCATGTATGCCGATTCCAATCATGCATCACTAATTCAGAATTGACCAATATTTCAGGTCAATATGACGTATGATGATGTATTTATTGTACTCTGTAAAAGGAGAAGATTTAGGTAACACTGGGTTGCTGTGCTGAAATGTCTGCATTTTATCCATTGTAAAGCATTCGTAACCACATAGAAATAAACGTTCCATTCCTCTGTGGTGCGTATCCAGGTAGTTGCAGTCCTAGTTTTTGCATTTTATAAATGTTTATGTATCAGAATTGCCAGATATATAGATTTTAAAAAATTCTGGATATTGGCCCACAGTTCCCATATTGGTGCATCCCTAAATTTGAAAGGTTAGGCTTTTCCAAAAACTCCAGCGGAAGATCAAGCTGATAAACAACAAAGATGTTCTCCATATTATTTTCTCTTATCTTTACCAAGGGTGCCAGTTATTTGGAAATGCATAAATTTACATCATCTCACATAAACTGATTGTCTTTGATGAACAACACCTTTCTACAGAACTGGGAATCAAGGTCAGCCAATCACACAGCTTCTTCCTTTGGCACCTCTGAGAAGAGCAGGCACTCCTTATGACTACAAAGGAAAGTCCTTAAAGGCCTTAAAAGAGACTCCACATGTTTCACTTTCCTCCTGCCCTCTATCCTCATCAACTGCTCTACCAACACAAGAGTTTAGAGCACATTTAGTAGAAGAGGACTTCCACAACAGAAATGCATCAGTGCATCATTAAAAGTGCCTCAAATGGACGTTATATAGCAATAATATTCTACAGTTCGATCCCTGACTTTAAAACACTACTGTATGTCAAGTACTCTTCTGTGTTCTACACAAATCTCATTTGTGTTTTAATGCATTACTATTTAAAGGCGAATACCACTAATTTTTCAAACTGTATAATTATACCACTCGTAAACAAACCAATCATGGTTTGCGCCATTCTAGAGAATATTGTCAAACCTGAGAGATGTTCTGAGAAGATTTTGGCCTACAATATATATATTTTTAATCCATTCATGGTGGAGAGGTACATACAGGGTATCGTACAGTAAAATAGTCCCCAAAGCAAATGTTATCACTACTTTACCATTATCAGCATTACAAAACTCTAGTGGTAATCACTGGTGGTTTTGTATAGTAAATAAAATGGCTATATTTGTGTGGTACACATCTCAACCTCTGGTTCCTATTATCACCACTGTAAAGAAATTCAAGTCGATACGTTTCTCTAAAATGCAGCATTTCACATCAAACCTTTCTGAATGACTGTTTACATCTCAACCTTTAAATTATGCAGAAATGTTGAAAAATGTGTGGAATTCCTCTTAAACACATCTTCTTCAAACTAATCACACTTATCTTTTAACTATCTTTAACTATTTAACTATCTTTTAAGAGTCCCTTTTTAATGCCAGTAGCTTTACATATAGGCCAAGTTACAACACCACAACTCAGAATATGACATAATCAGAGCTTACCTGGACTATGAACTGTTATGGAGGTCTGTGGTCTCACAGGAACATCCACCTAGTGCTCAGCTGTATGCAGTGAAATAATATGAAGAAATTAAAAGGAACAGTAAGAATGTGAAAGAAGAGGAAGACGAGAAGAGGAACACGCTGCGTACTCCGCATGCTACAGCTCACATGCACTTTGCCCGACGTGCTGTATGCGTGCGCGTTCTTCTGTTGTCAGCACTTGCTCTTTGGTGAACATGACTAAAGCAAAGAGACCTAGAATAAGGACCACACCCCCGCCCTATCGTGCATAAGTGTCTCTGAGTCATACAGTAATAGGAACACAATCTGTACAGCTCTATTGCTGAACACTTTTTCAGTAGCCGAACCAAGGTAAACACTCAATACAAAAACATCTGGCTGTTTTGCTATGTTCTTATAAAGTGTACCAGCTAATAGTACGTTTAAATACAAAAGACACCTATTATTTGGTGGAAAATGTCAACATCATTTGCGTCCCACCACTTCAGCAAAAATCAGAGACCACCCCCCATTTATTTCATTTCAAAATGACCTTGAAGTACAAGTTATTTTTCAGCATCAGGTAAAAAAGCTGAAAACAAATATTGAACAAGAAATTACACAGAAGCCTCAACAACTAAATATAATATCACATTTTTCAATATTTAGTGTGTGCACTCTTCACCTTTTTCACCTTCACCAGCTTCCATTCTTTTCAGGAGAGCTGATATCCACACCTCCAAAGTTCAGTCTTAGAAGTTGGTTGCATTTTCTGCTTCTCACAATCAAAATGATCCCAAACACATTCAGTGATGTTAAGGTCTGGACTCTAGGTCAGTCCATTGTTCTGAGAACACCAGCAGTTTGATTTGCAGATTTTTTCCCCCTTTTCTTAGTAACAGCTTCTACATGGCTACACGCCCTTTCAGACCCATCACGTTTCTTCTCACAGTGAAAACTCTCGTGGATTAATCAGATCAAGAAGTGAGATTTGAGCTCAATTTTCTGCCATATTTCAAGGAGTACTGTTTTCTGATGGTGATGATTGTTAGGAATCCCAATTGTCTCTGTATCTTTTAATATTTTTTGTAACTCCAGTTTCAGAAACTCCTGTTTTTCACATATTTTCCTTTGTCTTTACTCATCCTTATGCAAGTGGACCATCTTATATGTAAGCCCTAAAGGAATATAGTTTTTCACACTACTGTACAGAGGTAGAGCTAACTTCAGACTTTGGACATTTTTTTGTCTGAAATATGATTGCATTACATCACAAAAAATCAAAACCTTTAAAAGCTTTCACTTTTAAGATAACCTGTGGAACAAATGGCACCATGCACAATGGTAAATAAAGTTGTTGGTGATTTTTTTCAAAGGCACAAAGTGTAAGTAGGTCATAAAGTTAAATATTACCTCTTCTTACAAGTGTGTGCACTGATATCTCCACTAGATAAGTTCCATCAACCACAATAAGAAAATTCAGTTTTCACAGTTCACTCAAAACACTCAAAGGAGATGGGTTTGAACTGGCTTTCAGTCCAAGACTTTTCAATTACTAATAAAATGCCTCCTATATCTCAAGAGCCACAGGGTAATTACTACATGATTACAATTATTTCTGGTTGGCTCATATTTATTGTATGTATTGTATATTGTATGTACATTAAAAAGTATTTGGCTCCATCAGTGACCTGTACAGACCAGAGAAATAGTACAATAGCTACTGACAGTTTCAGTACATTAATAAAAACATAATATTATTTGAATTTACTGCAATGTCTAGCTTAAAAGCTGCCTTTAATATACATTTTGCGCAGAGAAAACAGCAAAAGTATGAATGTGGAACATGCTGGCGTCATTGTTTAAAATACATGGAAGAAAAAACAGCAGTTCCAAAAGAATGTGTTTGCTGCCCCCTACAGTCCAGAACAGCAAGTACACAACCCGCAATGTTCCTTACAGTAGCGCCACCGAAGACATAATGATCACTATATTATCATAAATCAACTACAAAAATCAAGCAGACATCTTTAATTATTACTGCAGCTCATTTGATTATTCTAAATGAGCTTCTCAAAAACTGCCTGACCCTGCCCTCATTCACCCGTGATAATCAGCACTACAGCACTATAACAATAGAGCAAAAATTTGGACTATAACACCTATTTAAAAAAAAACTAATAATAATAATAACATACATGGATAATAGCTTATTAGACACACATCTATACTATCTACATCTGTACTACTGGACATTCAGGCCAACCACAGAGACACACTTTGTAGATTTACAATTACTGACTGCAGCCCATCTGCTGTTTGCAAGTTCTATCCCACCATCAAGGAAAACGGATCACAGTACCACCAATGACCAGATATTATATGGATAGTATATTTTCAGCACAGCAGTGACCCCCAAAGTGGCAGTGGTAGGGTACTGTGTGTTACACTGGTACAAGTATGTCAGGTGCATCAGTATGACAGCTGGGTTAAGGACAGTCCACCAAACAAAAATATTCTAACACAGGTGGTCCAGAAACTGACCACTGTTGAAGGGTTACAGGATAACTAACACAAACTGCGCATAGAAATAGCTATAGCTTCTAACTGTACACCAACAAGGCACATCAACCAAGTAGTCCAATAAACTGTCTAATATATCGACAATGCTTTTGTACTTGACACAATCAAAATGGCCACTAACTGCAGGTATATGGTAGACATACCTCAACTCAAACTTAGATAAGACAGCTTTGACTGATTCACATTTGATTATTTCTGCAGTTAAATAAAGTGCATACCGGCTATATTTTGAAAAACAATATTTTGAAAAAGGAGAGTGCATGAAGTCAGATATCAGTAAACAAAGTTTAGTTAGTAGTCTATTTAGTCCTTTAAAAACGTAAACCTGAATTATAAAACAAAGAAGACATTTAAAAATTGTAGGCATCGAGTCTGATTTTCTTGGAGTGAGGCTCAGATGTAGATGTCCGACTGTAGAGGTGTGCTCTGAGGGCGTTTGGGTCGCTCACGTCTTTCTGCTTCATAGCGAGCCCGCTCCTTTTGGAAGCGCTTGACATTCTGGAGTGTTTTAAAAGTAAGGAAGGACGCCACTGCATACAAAATGGCCGTTATGATTCCAAACAACGCCACAGCTGCATCAGCGCCACCCACTTTACAGTTCATCCAAGTGTATCCGTTGCGAGCATAAAGTCGCTCTCGCTTCAGACACACATCTGTTGAGTTCACACTGATCACAAAGTGTAGATACAAACCCACTGCAACCACATATATCACAGTTCCTACCAGCTGGAACACAAACTGACCAATCAGAAGCTTCCATGGGAGCACATGGGCAGGCTTGGTGCCAGACACCACGAATAAAAGTGAGAGAACAGCAAAAGTGAGGCTGAAGGCCACACCTCCATAGACTCCAGGTGCTCTCATTTGTCCAAACTGCATGTCCAGGTCACGCACCTGTTGAAGTTCCACCCCTTCAAATGGGATGAGTGTGTCTACAAAGCTTCCACCAAAGTTCATCGCAGACATGCCTGATAATGTCACGTGAGCAGCCACGATGCAGAACAGCACCAACACATTGGTCAGGGTTGCACATATAAGCACAATACCTGAAAAACACAACATACAAAAGCTTACAGATGGAGATATATATGTCTGTATTTCTCACAAGTTATTATAATTATGAGCTTATTCTTGTGCACGTGTACAACAAAGAAATTAAGTGTCATTTGTGTAAATATCTATCTAAAGGAACACTTCTTTACAAATTAATTGAAGCAATGACTTATGTGTTTAGTAGAACTGTTTTAACTGTGTTGGATCCCAAATTGAGTGTTTAAAAGAACATAACCACACAACCCTTCTTCTTCACAAGTGATAATTAGTGATTTTTTCTTGGCTGTACAGGTATTATTAAGAGAAAGCTTTTTCAGAGAGTGCTTGTGTATTGTATGCGTCGCCATGCTTTAACCTGAGAGTGCCCAACTAGTCAAACCAGCTCAGAAGAAGGAAAAGGGAAGCAAAGGTAGTATCATAGGGCGTGGTCTGTGCATGGAGAGAAACTAAATCTGTGCATTGTGTGCTAAAAAGACAGATACAATTACACCTTTTCACTTTGAGCTAATAAATAAAAACGACAGGTGATAAGGAACATGATGAAGGCAATAAAAAACAGATACCATCAACTCCCTGTAGCCACCTTTGCACTCCCCCTTACAATTCATACATGTTTTCGTGTAAATACCCACCCCTCCTGGAGCAAATGTGTGTACACTTTGACTCATGTGCTTCTGAAGGGACTGTCCTCGTATGTCTGGAATGGGATGAGGAGCCTCTGGGGAAGGACTGCGTAGAGGACCTGGTGGAAAACAAGTTATGTGAGGGGCATTAATAATGGCAGTATTATAGATAGATCATGTAACATTATATTGAAGTTCATTCAAGCTTCTTTCTATCTTCATTTATGTCATTATTTTATGCAGTTATTTTTCTACATCATTTGAACCTGGCAGCTGCCCTTTATATCATGTAAAAATGATTGGACCAACAGAAATGCTCCAAAATCACTTCGAATAAAACCCTTTTTACATTAAATTACATTAAAAATTAGGAAGGTTTTTGCCTTCACCTATAAAATTACTATTTTGGAGATACATGGATGAAAACAAAAAGGTACACTTTTCGGTCATTAAGGTACAAACAATGTAATTGTTCCCTCAAAGGTACAACAGTGGTTTTAAGGTCCAATTATGTACCTTAAATAAGTTTTCCCAGGTGAAAAGTACGTATTTGTACCTTTTCATAACCTAAAGCTTTAAAACAGAACAATAAAATAAAAAGCCTGGAGATGAGACGGGGTGTGTGGAGTCAATACAACTTAGAAAATATAATTTCAATGGATTAGGGTACAGTTATGTTCCCTGACTAAAGGTACTGAGATGTACCCTTGAGTGAGTTTCATACCTTTATCTCTGAGAGTGTATAATAAAATGTCGTAGGCTGTAAAAAAGTTGACCTCATTCAAAATGAATTCATAATGGAAGAGTTACACTAATTTAGGTGATCCATTTCTGCATTATACATAATTTGAAGGGCTAGTCATTGACGTTTTGCATACACATACACCTACCTGTGGTTGTTACTCTGGTCTCGTCGTGTTCGAGGCTCCCGCCTTTCTCCGTGTCCTCCTCCGTTCCTGTCCCTCTGCCCCCGCGGTCTTCTGGGCGGATCACTCATAGCTAAATGACTGCAGTAAACAGCAATTAGGTTAAGCCTCCATGTTACGTTTAGCTACAATTACACTGCTCTCTCTCTACGAGTGAAACCCACAGAGACAAAAAGTCAAAGTCATCTCTTAGGACAGCTAGGAAAGCGGTCAAAAAAGGGCAGAAAAAGTCGAAAATGAAGTGTTTACCTTCTGAAAAACCTACAAAAGAAAAGAAAACTGAGTCGACTCAAAATTAACTCAAGCCACTCGATAACGTACATAAAAAAACAGTTCAAACTGTGGCCATTTTGAAACTATTTGAGCCATTTCTTTGAGGCTGCGCTTCAGAAAACATTTGAAAACCAGACCCAACGACTCCGGATTCACCTCGTAAACTCAGGAAAGTACATAAACATGCTACCGCATTTCTCCACAAACCCCAGCATTATGTTTAAAAAGTTGCCTAAAGAAAACAAAATGATAACTTACTACTTTGAAGCTGGTGTTTCACATTGGTTTCTTTTCGCTCTCTAGGCTCCCGTTTTGAAGTAATCAGGAATCTCGCTCGACCGCTTTCCGGGATCTCTCGCGACCTCCGCGCGAAGTCTCGATCACGTGTCGCACCTGGAGAGAGGGGGCGGGGCTCAGGTGGCGGTAAAGAAGGGGCAGACTGCTGTGGTTTGGAGACATGGCGCCGCTTATCTGGAGGATTTTGAATAGTGCAGCCTTTGTGTTAGACAGTCTGGTGTCCACAAGAGAGCCCTCTCGGTTTCGGGTTACGTTAGAGATGGGAGAAAGAGGAGCCTCAGCACTGGGGTTATTGGAAAAGGCCGTGAAAGTGAAAATGGGGTCGTTTATATGCGGGTAAAGCAAGGCTGAGTCACATTCTTCGCCAGCTTCGTATTGGAATTTGTCCGTCCACCTTAAATGGTGCAACAGTCAGGCGCCGGAACGTAACTGCTGTACCATTTAAGGTGGACCGACAAGTTCCAATACGAAGCTGGCAAAGAAGTCAGCTTATAACCTGTTCGCCAGCATCCTGCTCCTTTAGTTTAGAACTGTTGATGCTAGACTAGCTAGCATTGCTAACTAACTAGCCAACTAACAAGCACGAAGTAAGTTGTCACCAATTTCATTTCTGTTGTGTTCAAATGTTCACAACTTCTCTCAGTCCGCTCAAAACACCAGATCTTAATATGTGACAGTGAGACTAGTGAGCATGGTTGAGTTTATTTGAACTATAAAAATGAATAAACTTAATGGTAACACCTGCTGTTTAAAATGGCGCTCTGCAGTTTTCAACTTTATGGTGAATTTTGTTTCATAGTTTTATATTAAGTCATAGTTTGTACTAAAACCACAACAAGTACTCTGGGTGACATTAAGACCCAGATGTGTTCTGGGTGTGTTGAGAGAAGGTTTTAGGCACATATTGATAGACATAACATATGCTGTTAAAAAAGATTTTTCTTCAGGGGTTCTTTAGTAAAGACATTGGTTTTATTATATAGAACCATCAACACTCAAAGAACAGTGTGAAAATGTTCTTCAGATTGATGCCGAATGTGTTGTGTATGATTCTGTATAGCACCAAGAATGGTTCTTTTATTGTTACAAGAGATCGCAACAATAGCAGAACACTCTTAGGTGCTGTATAGAATCATTTGCAAAAGGTTCTATATACAACCATATGCAACATATTCTGCATCAATCTGAAGAACATTTTCACCATGCAAAGAACCATTTAAGCATGCAAATGGTTCTACATAGAACCATGTCTTTAATAAAGAACATCTTATTAAAAAGTGTGGGTGACAACTGACTTCAGTGTATGCCTAGCAGCTCCAGTTCTAAACTAAAGAATTACAATTTGCACTTCAAACATGTTTTTACTGACCTGGGGTGAGTGAAAAATTCTGTAGATTTTTTTTCCAGTGCTATAAATGATTGCTATTTTGTGCAGTTTACTCTTTCCATTATGTTTGCAGCTCATGACTTAATCAAGGTATCCCTTATCTGGTCTGATAATGAATCTTCTGTTTTACAGGTTTAGTTTGAATTCATTGAAGTTTGTCTGCAATATGATAAAATAAACTGTAGTAAACCATTATAAAGACAATCATGGACGTGGAAGACAGGGTTTCAGTTGTATTTGCCCGAACTGTCTAATAGTTCTTCAGTCCTTTATAGCTATTATTTTTTTTCTGTGAGTGTCTCCTCAGATTAGGGCAGAGTTCAAGAGAGTCCTCACTGCAGACCTTTTCCAGGCTTTTCTCAACTGGCTTTATGCTCTGGTCCCAAAACTGCTGGAGATGTACAAAGCAGCCATGCCTTGAAAGAAGCAGGTATTCAAATGCATTTTGGACTGCCTTGAGGAACATGTAAGTGCAGGATCTGATGACAATAAAATGTGTCACTGTTTTATATTTCATCTCTCACTGTACTGTACACCGATCAGGCATAACATCATGACCATCTCCCTGTTTCTACGCTCATTGTCCCTTTTATCAGCTCCACTTACTATATAGGTGTACTTTGTAGTTCTACAATTACAGACTGTAGTCCATCGGTTTCTCTGCATACTTGCTGTGTCTGATCCACTCAGACCTGTGCAACACACACTAACACACTACCACCACGTCAGTGTTACTGCAGTGCTCCCACCACCCAAATAGTACCTGCTCTGTGAGGGTCCATGGGGGTCCTGACCACTAAAGAACAGGGTAAAAGGGGGCTAACAAAGTATGCAGAGAAACAGATGGACTACAGTCTGTAATTGTAGAACTACAAAGTGTACCTATATAGTAAGTGGAGCTGATAAAATGGACAATGAGCTTAGAAACGAGGAGGTGGTCATAATGTTATGTCTGATCGGTGTATATATCCTGTAGAACACAAATGAGAGGAGAAGGACTACATCTTTGCTTGGTCTGCCATACTATCTATTTGAAGATCCAGCAAATGCAATCAGGATGTGTGATGTAAGACTATATCTGATGGTGGTGTTGAGACACTGGATGTGGCTATGGAGGGGATGTAAGTTGGCCTCCTGATAGGCCATGAAGGTGTTCTACAGGATGCCTTTCCTTGAGAGAACTTCAGTGTGGCAGTTGTGGTGAAGGAGACCATTGTACTACACATCCTTAAAGATAGGCAATGCAATATGCAATGCAGCTTTGCCATGCTTATGGGTATCGAATACATGGATTGAGAAACAAGCTTCTTATGTACAAACTATAAAACATCTGGCTACTTGGCTGTCACTAGCTGTTAGTGATAATGTGTAATTTCATGCTTTTGTTTTAATGTTTTCATCTTGATGGAATTTATATGTTTCAGTTGTGTCTTATAAGAAACTGTTTTTTTTTTATTCTCATTGTTAACATGGGTAAACACATGCACACACATTTTTGAACATACATGCTATCATGTAAACAGCCAGACATACTAATGCACACACTCAGACATACTTAGTTGAACGCAAACATGTACTCACACAAATGCAAGAAAGAAATGCATCAAAGAAATAAATATTTGCTAAATTGCCTTTTTCAAACTTCTCATATGGATTCTTTTCAAAGAATTAGTTTTTGTATATCGTTGTCCACATAATGTAAGCACACACTCATACTCATAATGGAATATTTACTTTGATGTGCATACACATATATACACACTCCTGAGATTAAAAGAATAGTTTGGTGAAAAAAAATCAAATGTACACCATTTTCCTCCAGCGATGTAGCCAATTAAGTCTGGAGTGCACATGCTTTTTTAAATGTGGAGCTGCTAGGAAAACAATGCTATCAAGCACTAGAGGTCAGCTGTCACCCACATTTTCCCTGTAATTACATGTTCAAAAGCTTCTCTCAACTCACTCAAAATGCATTCTTGTCTTAACTTATGTCGGCCAGACGGTTCAATGCACTGTATGACTTGATAGGAACTATAAAAATGAATATAACTTCACCACATGGCTGAACGCTACAGACCAGCACCTTAAACAGCAGAGTATGAAGTCATACCGTGTTAAAGCACACTGAGTAAAATGGTAGACCTGTATATAAAGACGTAGATGTGTTTGGAGTGGATTAAGAGATGTTTAGGATGTGCATTAGTGGAGATGAAATGAGTGACAATTGACTTCTGGTGTTTGTTAGCAGTGTTAACATAGGAGCTCCAGTTACAAACTAAAGAAGCAAACTTTAGACTTCAAACATGTCCTGACTGATCAATTTCATATGGGGTAAGGAGAAAATGGTGTAAATTTGATTTTAGCTGAGCTATCCCTTCAGTTACACTAAATTGAATGTTGAAGCTGTTTTCCATCATATTCCAGTTGGAAGGAGCACCTGTTTGGAATGTTGCTTTCTTGTGTTACACCTTTTGTGTGTAAAAGTCATTGTATTTAACTAGAAAATAAAAGTGAGATGTTGCCTCAAAGGTGGTGTTTGTTGTTATAATTTTAATTCACAATTTGAAACACGGAACACTTTTACAGAATCTTAACTTGATCTTTAACTTAAATGTGGACAGTAATTGGGACGAGTGAACAAATCTCAGGTTAGTAAGTCATCTGTATCTTAAACTTGTGTTGCTGAGTTGAAACAACACACACTATACAGTAACACCAACTGCAGGGAGCAAAACTAAACAGTCATAAGTTGAAATAAATAGTTTGATTTTGCTTGAAACTTTAAGGTGGCTTTTGAACTTAAGTTCTGAGTTGAATCTTACTTTTTTACAGTGTAAAAACATGTTTTAAAAAGTGTTTATCATATCCTGATTATTAAAGGCATCTTTCTATTGAAATCAACATTTTGAAATACTTAGTTTTCGAAAGATTTGCTATGACACCTTATTCATTCATTTACTTCTTTATTTATTCATTCGTTCATTCATTCTTTCAGTGTCATTTTTTCACTTTCTTTCTCCACAGTGCAGACAGTCTGCTCCAGAAGCTAGTTTTTCCTGACTTCATCTCCAGCATCTTCTTCAGCTTCTTCTCTTCCTCCATCAGCTATCTCCTTAGCCTTCTTTTCCTGCTCCTTCCTGTCTTTCTCATCTCTTTTCTATCTCCAAACTCCCCACCATGGCCTTGCAGTTGGACATGGCCTCCAAGAGTCCCTTTCCTCTCATCATCTTCTCCTTTTCTGCTCTCAATCTATCTCTTTCATTCAGCCTCTCCATCTTCATATTGAGGATTGTGCTTTTCAGCATGCAGTTCTCGTTCTCCAGGTCCTCCAGGTGGCTCTGCATAGCCACGTTCAGCTTTCTCGAGGTGCTCCCTCTCCACTTCAAGAGCACTCTCAGGCCGCTCTCTCTGCTCTCTATGAGCTGCCTCAGGTTTAGCAATCATAGCGTTTAGACAATCCAACGCGATTTCCACGAGCTCCAGTTTCTCCTGTTGTTCTTCATCAAACGTGGATGGCTGCATACGATCGGTAGCACTGCTTAACCGTGCTATGTAACTCGCAGCACGTCTGAGGAATTCTGCATAATGTCTATCCATTTTTCAGGACACTGCACTGAAAACAGCACAATCAACTCCAAATAGTTCCAGTAAAATTACTAAACAGAACGCTTTCTGTTCTCACAAAGTAATGAG